GAAACTGGGGGGGGGGGGACCTTTGACAAGCCACTGGCTTCCTGTCCTAATTGAGGACAGGAAGGAATTTACCTTCCTGTCCTCATTGAGGACAGGAAGGTAAATTTTATTTTTTTTAATTTTAAATTCAGGTAAAATATTTTTTTGGCACATTTGTTGCCCTAATTAGTATTTATGATCTCTTGATCCTTGATTTGCAGGTTTAAAAAATTCCTCCTTGCCTATTTTGTCAATTCATGATAGTTTTGTACATAATGATCATGTTGCCTTTTTCATTCTATTTTCTATCAGCAAAAAGGAACTACAAAAGAAAACCTGCTCAAAACATAAATAAATGATCCAAAGTGTTTTTATGCCTACATAAGTAAAACAAAGACAAAAGACTTGGTAGGACCCTTAAATGTTGAGACCAAACAAGTTATAATTGTTGATAAAAAGGCAGCCAACACCTTTAATAATTACTTTATATCAATGTTCACTAGAAATAATAGACAATTTCAGTACCCAACATGAAACAATCAAGAAGACCATTGACAAATAGAAGGATTCAAACCAAAGTTATAAAGGAACTGGTAGATGAACTGTCTCCCCCATTGAAACTCCTTTAAAGAAAATTGGACCAAGGACGAATTCCCCTAGAATGGAAAATGCAAATGTCACTCCTAGTCTCAGAAAAGGCAGAAAGAGCTCAGCAGAAAACTACTGACAGATCAGCCTAACACCTCTGATCTGCAAGCTTATGGACAGAATCGTAAGAGAGGGAATCATTCACCATCTCGGTGCACAATCTTAGTAAAATCAATGCAACATGGTCTTGTTAAAATTAATTCCTGCCTTACTGACCTATACATTTTGTTTAAGACAGTAACCAGCTATTCAGATAAAGGGCTTCCAGTAGACAATATACATGGACTTCTCTAAAGCTTTTAACAAGGTACCACATGAATGACTGGCAAAAAAATTAGAAGCAGTAAGGACTTGCCCAAAATGCTGTTGGTGCTAGTGGCTCTACAAGAATGTAAGAACTCTTGTACTGTATATATAAGTAAATAAATAAAAGCATGTGGAATAAATGGTAAAGTACTAGAATAGATTAAACAATAGTTGAAACAAAGAAACCAAAGGGTTGTCCTAAATGGAAATTATAATTCATGGTTTTATAATTCACTGTGTCGGGGGACAGGAAGCCAGAGTGTATTCATACACATTAGGTTTTTATCAAGGCTCTTCCTTCCCCCAACCGGTTCGAATTACTGATCTCGCCCAGGTTGCAACCCCACAGCAAGCTGACTACTTCCTGAGTACCTACTTGCTGCTAGGTGAACAGAGGAATTAGGTTAAAAGAAACATGCCCAACCATTTCTGTCCCGCCTGGGACTCAAACCTGGAATTCTCGATTATGCGTTGAGAACGAACCCGACTGCACTACCAGGACCCTAAATGAGATGAATCCAACTAAGAAAAATGTGGTTAGTGGGGGTAATGCAAAAGGTTCCATCGTCAAGCCAATTGATTTTGTCATAACATTAATGATATTACAACATTAAAATGACAATATTACAAACCCATATCAAATTTGTAGATGACTAAAATCGGTTGTAAATTAGGAAGCAAAAATGATATCGAGGTCTTGCAAAAAGATCTCCATGAAATACACATTGGGTCGGGAGCCTGGCAAATGCTTTTTAAAATTGACAAATTGCAAGACCTTGCATGTAGGGCATAACAATGACCATCACAACTATCACATTAGCAACACTTCATGCAACCGATTGTAGAAGAAAAGAACCCAGGAGTTGGAATCCAGTGGTCATTGAAAGTTGCACAACAGGTGAGAGCTGCTGTAAAAAAAAGCCAACCAAATCTTAGGAATAGTCGAATAAACTTTTGATTTCATGGAAAGGAAAGGGGTTATTCAACTGTACAAATCTCCGGTGCACCCACATTTGGACTAGTGTAACCAAGCATTGAGACCTCATTTTCAGGAGGATGTACTGTATCTGCTTTGGAGAAAATACAGTGCAAAGCAACGAAAATCATTTCAGAACCAAGTCAAATATCATACCAGGAAAGATCAAACTGCGAACAGCTGCATCGAGTAGCTTAGTCATAGGCTGTTTGTTGCAGCTGTTCGCTGTTTGACCACCAACCAAGAGGCCTGGTTAAAGATTGGGCTGTGGGGATGTTGATTCTTGGAATCATCGACAGATAAAAGGAGCGTCTTTCCTATGTCTACTGCATTACGTTTCAATCCAGTCTGATTGTTTCCAATCTGGAAGTGTGCAGTGGCTTGCAGCTTTGCTGTTTTGTCCACAGCTATTATTTGGGCTTGGGGGGCTTCTGGCAGTCTTCCTGCTGCTAGTTTCTCATTCCATGCTGAATGTCTTTTGGTCTATCCATCTGCATGCACTTGTATGTGCTTCAGATGTTTGGTGTACAGCTGTCGTTCTTTGCTCCAGATCCTCCTCTTCTGCCATTCTCCTCTCACATGTCATCCCAGGCCATCTTCTCTGATTTTCTCAGAAAAGTCAGGCTCATCTATGCAGGTACCATTGTGAATAAGGTTGGCGAGTTACTGAGAGGTTCCTTCCAGAAATCAGGCACTGAATGCTATGAAATCCCTTTTTCTAGTGGGCCCCCAATAAAACCCCATCCCTGTCTTGTTCTCTTTTTCTCTGTGGGCTTATAGGGTTTTGCACAAGCAGCTCCAAATATTGAGGCTTGAAGACCTCGGGTGACCTGGGCTGCAATCTGGTGGGAGGCAAGAACATAACAATTAGGAAATGTATCCTGTGGCAATGATTGCGTCTTTTACCTTGGGGTGCCTAATTTTCTTAAATCAGCCACCTGTTTTGTTGCACCTATGCTTTCTAGTGGATTGACCCTAGTTTACTCTGATACCCAGCTTCCCTCACCTAGTAGTAACAGATTCTAGTCCTGGCATCCAGTAAATGATGGCTGGGTCCCAGATTCCTTGTGTGTATCAGAGTTAAGCTCAGGAAACTATTGTGGGCCATCCAGAGAAGTATGTTTCATTATATTCAGCACTTGATTTTTAGAGGAAATACTATATACTGTAGTTGGTTTATTTGTGTAATATTTAAGTCAACGTGCGATATTCTCATTCTGGGTATGATATTTCTTTTATGTCTTAAAATCTTTCAGATATGAAATTAGTAGCAGAAATAACAGTAAATATGGCAGCAGTGTTATAATATTACAAATAAAATCACATTATAAAAATAATACAAGGAATAATTAAACAACAGGGAAATTAAAGTTGCTGTATAAACCAAAAGGGTAAATGTAATCTTAATTCTTAAATCATACAGTGTTAGATGTGAACAAAATTATCAAAGTGAAACTTTCATTGGGGTTAGTGCATTGGTGAAGCTATCATTTGAGTACAGTACAGTATGTGCATATGTAAAACATTATTGATCTAATGTATAAGAGAATTACATAGGAGAGTTTCAACTAAATATGAGACCATCTTTTAGGTTAGTTTGAATATGATACCATCATTGAGGTTAGTATGAAGAGCCACCATCATTGAGGTTAGCATAAAACAGAGACTGTCGGCGAGGTTAGCATAAAAGAGACCAGCATTGAGGTTAGCATAAAATAGCGACCGTCATTGAGGTTAGCATAAAAGAGAGCAGCATTGAGTTAGCATAAAAGAGACCGGCGTTGAGGTTAGCATAAAATAGCGACCGTCGTTGAGGTTAGCATAAAGGAGAGACCGTCGTTAAGGTTAGCATAAAATAGCGACCGTCATTGAGGTTAGCATAAAAGAGAGAGAGAGAGAGAGAGAGACCATTATTGAGGTTATCATAAAAGAGCGACCATCATTGAGGTTATCGTAATAGAGCGAACATAGTTGAGTTTAGCATAAAAGAGCGACCATTGTTGAGGTTAGTGTAAAAGAGCGACCATCGTTGAAGTTAGCGTAATAGAGCAACCATCGTTGAGGGTATCATAAAAGATACCATCGTTGAGGTTAACATAAAAGAGCGCCCATTGTTGAGGGTAGCGTAAAAGAGAGACCATCGTTGAGGTTAGCATAAATGTGAGACCATCATTGAGGTTAGTATAAATGGGACATCATCATTGAGGTTAGTATAAATGGGACATCTTCATTTAATTTTATGCAGATGTTAGATCATATAGCTCATTTATGTTAGAGCAAATGCGAGACTTATCATTGGAGTTTAACGAATGGGCACCCATTATTATGGTTGCCTGTGTTAGTGCAATCTTTATTAGTGTGCATGTGAGACCACTTGGCATCATTGTGGTTAGAATGTAAATGTGATCTTTTTTAATGTATTACTATTAATGGAAAGATGGTTAATCCTTTGCCATTTTCATCCATAGGCTTCATATTTTAACCAGTTAGATATTGTACTCTATAAACAGTTATTACTTAAAAGGCCAAGACTTTTGTTTTTTTATTTAGCATAAATATTGTCACTTGACATTTGATCTCATTCAAAAACTGCATTGGGGCTGGAAGGTTTATAGGCAAACAAAATGCACAAGTGTATTTCATAACATAATTGTGTAATTACATTTCAAATTAATTAAAACAATTTAGTTTAAAGAAATATCAGAAAAGGTATCTAGTAACAAAAATGCAAGCAAAAGATTTGGAGTGAAATTATTGTAGTTAAAATACCATGAAAAGAAACTAATAAATACTAAACTTTCAAGCTGCTACTGGAACTAAATATTATGTATCATCGCGCGTGAGATTTCTTACCGGTTTGCCGAGTACTGTGTTTGTTTAATACTGTGTATGATGGTCAGAGAAGAGTGGAGGGTAAGGCATGTCCGGAAGCAAGTAGAGGTGCACCTGATGTGGCCCTCGTCAGTTCCTTTTGCCTTTTTGGATTGCATTACTGTAGGTAACAAGTAATCTTTTTAGCTATTTGCTAGATAACCTTGAGTAATGAATTTCCAAATGCATTCAATTTATGGCTGGTTATATCTCCTTGTAGGCTTTGTTTGCAAGTAGCATTCCCGAGATTATAGAGCTGGTCGGAAGCCGGTCCAAGTATAGTGGAGAGTACAAGCGGGAGCATGGGAAGAGGTACAGCGCCTGGTCACATATTCCTGGCTGCACCCCGCCCTTGCCCTCCCTTCTGCTGCTGCTGCTGCTCTTGCTGCTGCTGCTGCTGCTGCTGTTGTTGTTGTTACTGCTGCTGGCAGCCTAATAGTGTAGGGATGAGTGGTGGATGTTATGTGCAGCAGCAGCACCAGGGGTGGGCGAGCAGGGCACGGGCGGGTATGCAGTAGTGCGTGTGTGTGTGTTGTGTTGTCCTGCTCCTCTGTGGCCATTCCTGTGCTTTCTGGCTTACTGCCATCTATTGTACACTGTCCCTTTATGTGTTAAAATTTTTTGCTTTTACGTTCATGTTTTCCTTATACATAAACCATTGTTTTGGCTAGAGACCTAAACTCCTTAGCTAACCAGATCCTAGCGAGGTTTGAACGAGGGCGCAAGGAGCGTGAAGGGGTGTTTCCTTTTGTCGGCACCCTGCACGCCACCTCCACGACACCACCCAATATTAATATCCTGTACTTCAAGCAGTAGAAGCACAGTTGTTTCCATTGCTTATTATCACACTACAGTACAGTTACAACCATTACCATTCATGAATTCTCAAAGTTCTATAATTTTAAAATAGTAGCAATGGATGCTCAGCTGCTGCTTATGCCTGTAATTTTATAGACATTTTGCCACCTTTGGCAACACACCAAACATCTTTCCATAAAATTTGTGCTGTCTCTCAAATGCCCATATCTTACACCTTTCTGGCACCAGTAATAATTGTAATTCTCATATTGATATGAAAATCATGCAGAACTAAAGACTTAGACAACATATTAGTGTTGCATGCCTTCTTAATATTCATGGTAGCCCTTTAACCATTCTTTTCAATGCTAATACCAGTCAAATTAAAATAGTGTATTTAAATCAATCTGTTGCACCTGCATCACTTGCTTTACCCTTGTCAGTCACTGCAATGAACCTGAGTAATGCAAATTTCCTCCTTATGTGTGAACCCTTTATGTCAGTTCACTGATCATGCTCATTATGCCACTCTACTGTAAAGCCTTTCCCACAAAATATATGGTCTCCTTCCTTTCACCTGATGCTTGCTACCCATTTGCTTTTATTTGCTTGTGTCTATCCCGAACCTCCACATCCTTTCTGCTTGCTTCTAATGTTTAATTGAAGCCCATACATGTATTGACCTAATCATCATAGTTATCAGGCTGCACTTCCCATTCAGATAATGTATCTTTCAGTAATATCGCTTAATAATGTTTAAAATTTTCATTCAGGTGTACAGAATTAATGTTCTTGTGAGTCAAAGTCAATTTTTAAAAGAGCATTTCAAAGTGTTCAATAATTTACATGTATGAGAAAAAATAGGAAGTATTACTTTTTAATGAAAAGAGTATAGCCTGAAGACAATGAGCAGCTACATTCAGGAGATGTACATGTGAAGACATCATACTGTACCTTTGTGTCTTGAGCCTAGAAAGGAATGCTCTTCTTTATTTTGTTCAAAAAGAATTGATAAACACTTAATGTATAGATTGACTCTTGGTGCATCTTCAGCTAAATAGCACGTACAGGCCTAATAATAATCTTCATTAAGATAGTAACTTATTTAGCTGCTTATTCAAATCAATCATTTTAAATAATTGATTCTTGATAACTTTGGTCATCTTCTGTGTGTAGCTTAGATTTACAAATCATGTGGGATAATTTTCCACTGTATGCCATCACCAGAAACTGTGAGCTGTAGAGAAAATTAAAGTTTGATTATCTTAATGTAATAATATTGGCTCAGAGTCCCTGGGAGCATTGTGAGGTGGAGTAGTGTTGGTTATCCACGGCATCCTGAGCAACTGTGCCTGAACTCCGCCCGTGTGTTCATACCAACCAGTACCATTTTCGTGCATTCGTAACCTTGATGACCTTGTTTTGCGTGGCCAGACCTTTGTGAATTTTAAATCCTTTTTCCTTGAAGCAGTCTTACTCATCTTTATAACCCTTACTTATTTATGCAAGGCCTAATCCATGTATGTCAGCTCTGACCAATACTTTATAGTCCTAGTCCATGCTGGAGCCAGTATATGCTATCTAGATGACAGCAATGCCAACATAATGGGCAAAGGATATCACATTTACAAATAGTTGCTGATCAATGTTTACTCTTCAGTTACTTGAGTGTCAAAGTAACACATAGATATGGACTCATAATAGTGCCATATCTGCTTGTAAAATATATAATAAATTAAAAATTATAAAACGGTGAATGTTTCGCATTATTGGCACCAATGATAGATCAATAATCCTTTTGGCTGAAAACACACACATCAGTTGCCAGCATTCTGTTGCTCAATGTAGGGTGAAGGAAATGATTTTGTCAGAGTAATACATGTCCAGTACATGCTAAATTGTGCATGGCCACTACTCTCTTGGACTCGCTAGAAAACTGGGAAAAAAGCCGGCTGGACTTTAAAGTGTTTTATTGGTGTCACATATTTCTGTTTTGCTGTGTTCAAAGTTAGATTATTGGAATCATGGCACAGAAATTGTTGATGCTGTTGTTTTGTGATGATCAGGTCTTCTATCTGGCATTCAATTGTGGGTCCTTGTCTCTGACCAATGTCATTATTTTGACTCCTGTATCCTTGTGTTTTTACCTGCCTTTTTCCCTTAAAAAGAATCCTAATTCCCTAGCTGGTAAATCCATTGTTTAACCCCAACTTTCAAGCATTATTACTGACTTCTGTTTCTTTTGAAAATATCTGACTATTGTAGTTTCTTACCTAATCTCCATAATTTAAATCTAATGTTTGATAGTTGGCCTTCACATAATTTCTCTTTATCTTTTGCATCCTTCATTTTGGAACCTTTCTTATGTGATGTCTATTTTTATTATTTGTTTGTGGCTTCTTTATATACTTGTGAGCAGGTATATCCCTCTATCATGAACCCAGCATCTTGTAATCATGTTGCTGAACATTAAGGAACATTATTCAAATCCATATCATATGTTTTAAATTTTCCTCCTTTGGCTCATCTCTATGGCACTGCCAGTTTGCATTACTGTATAACACTTTCTTAAAAATACAAATATATTTCAAATGTAGTTCTCTGCATGTTGTGCCTTGTATTTCATATATGCCTTTAGCTTTAATTGAAAATTATTGCTTGGAAAAGATTTCCTTAGTCCCATAGCATCCCTTTCATCTGTCTGTTCTCATCTCTTCCCATTCTGATCTGAAACCCAGTGCAATGGTAGTGTGCTCATTTCCTTATTAAATCTCATCCCATAGGTGGAGCATCGGTTGCTTATGTTCCAATTTTTAAAGTAATATAAATATCGGTGTACGGAACTCGCTGGCTAAGACTTGTATTACTGTACCGATTAATATGATACAGTATTCTGAATTGTTTTTTATTATCTAACAATAATGCTCATGCTTTATACTCGATTCAGTGTTGTTGTTATTCGTACCGGTAGTATTATCATTATTATAGTCTTGAACCAATATTTGTATCTGTGTCCACCTCAGCTTGTACAGTATTATGAAAAATCAAATAATTTTTGTGCCCATCAGGCAAGCTCAGTGTTATTAACTTGTATTTATGCCCTGTATGATAGTCTGAAATATCTTGCACAAATTCTTTTGTATTGATACCAAGAAGAATAAAAACATAAGCTTAGTAATATATTGACTCTCCAAGGTGGCATTTTGATTAAATTAGTGGACAGAATTGATTCAGAGTGACATATAGTAAGAAGTCAAAGTAATTTTTAATGGTCTAAATGTAATGATTCAAGCCATTTTCCCTTGTGTAATTGTTAAGATAAGTCAATCAACTTGTGAGCGTGAAGAACCAATATAACAAGGGGGGGGGGGACAGTATTTCATTACATCTTGGGTACTTGTTTATTAACTTGTTTTTAAGGACTCCAAATTAAAACTCTAAAAATGAAGTACTCCAAATTGGTACTCCAAAATTAATAATTTTCATCACTCCAGTAGACTTGTATGTAATAATTCTTAATAAGAAAGTGGTTTTGATAAATATTGCTTGATAAAAACTGAGTTCTATGTAGGGCTTAAATTGAAATAACTTAAAGGGGTACAGCTAGGCCTCATATTTCAGCCTCTCCTTAAATTATGCCTCTATTATCTAGAATGATAGCATATGTTCATTAATTTTTTTATTCAATCCAATTAATTTAAGTAACTTTTTGGTATTCTTACCTTAACAAAGTTCTGTGACTTCAGTGTGTAATTAGTAATTTCTTTGTAGAAATCTCGTAATATAGTAGGCCTATATATACTCCATTATGCATGACTGCAAATTTTGTATTAAAAATTAGTGTACAGTTTTACACATCCTTATGCTTAAGATTTCATGAACACCGTCCCTAAATATCATGCACTTATTGTCTGTAACACCACAAGATCTTTGATGCATAGTACGTAACGTAAATTATGTTTTACAGCATATGTATGTTCACATTTAAAGTATCATTGATCATTATATAGGTCAAAACTTATAAATATCCCAATCATTTTATTTCCATTGAGATCCTTGCTACTGTGTACTCTATACCAGCATGCCCAATTTTTAATGCTTGCAGTAAGCTCTTCTGTATGTTTTGCACAACATAATTACATTTCTTCTACCTTTCCTCATTTTCTTTTTGGATTTCCATCTTCCTAAAAGTAGATAGCAAAACGTGTATTTTCTTAGTTTGTAGCTGTATATACATAAAATGTTTAATTCACATCAGGTATTTAACTCCAGGAATACAGACTATTAAAAAATCCTGATAAAAAATATCTTATTACACTGTTTCTTTCGGAATAAATTGGCAACCTCATGTGGAAGATAGTGCTAGCTAATCCAGGGCCTTAACATGACAGTGAGCAAATCTAAGCTTCCCATAATTATGAATAAGATCCTTTAAACTCAGACTAGATCTGGGATGGAACCTACCTCCTTGAGTTTGTAAACATTTGTATGCCTTAGCCATTCTATCCCTTATT